CCTCAAAAATATGACAACTAATCAAAGGCAAAACTTGGTGGGAAGGCAGAAGTACAGAAGTCTTTTCTTTATAGGATCAAAGTTTTATTAGTAGCTGATCTTTCAGAATGATTTTGTTTTTAAACGTGAATAGAAATAGATGAGATCACTGGGTATTTTTAGCAATATGGCATTTTTCTATTTTCTAATGATAAAGAAAATAGCTCCCACCAAAAGACATCACAAATTGTCTATTGTCAGTTGTTGAGTGTGTGTGTGCATGAGTATGTAATGTGTGTAGTAGGGTGGGCTGGGGGAATGTGTACATCTATGATGTGTGTGGTGCATGTATGTATATATATACATACACACACATACACACACACATGTGGAGTGTGCTTTTAACAGTTCCCTGCTGTATCTTGCAGTTCAAAGTTGAACCTCATCAGTCTAGGACTCTTTAAAACCTAGCCTTGCCTGGTACCAGTGGCTCATGCCTGTAGTCCTAGCTACTCAGAAGGCTGAGATCTGTGTTTGAAGACAGCCCAGGCAGCAAAGTCTGTCTTACTGCCAATTAACCACCAAAATGCCAAAAGTGGAGCTGAGGCTCAACTGGTAGAGTGCCAGCCCAAGAACCAGCACTAAAATCAAAAACAAAAACAAAGAAAAACCCTAAACACCTCCTCCTCCCTCTGTAGACATGTCTGACTTTTTCCTTCTTCACATTTCCTTGAATATTGCCTTTGAAGCTGCGAAGCCACAATAGCAGCCCTAGGTGATCAGTGTTCCAAACAACTTTGACTTTAAGGCAATAGAATTTCAAAGTGGGCAATGCCATCACTGACAGCCATTTGTATTTTGGTTACCCTGTTAAGCTCAAATATAAACTGAGTTTTAAAAAGAAGTTGAACAAAAATATTCATTGTTCTTTGATGTTGGATTTCTTTTTCTTTCCTGTCTATCCAAAGCATATTTTCTTGTCTTTCTATGTTACCACAAGTTTGTTTGGTTTTTAAGTGTCTGGAATATTTAGTGAGGCCTGGATGATGTGAGGATAGACCTCGGGACTCTCTGGGTGCATATTCTGCTGCATTTGACAGAAATATGGAGGGTTTCAGGAAGGACAAATTAAACTTGCTTTGAGCTGAGCACCTGTGGCTCACGCCTGTAATCTTAGCTACTCAGGAGTCTGAGATATGAGGATTGGGGTTCAAAATCAGCATGGGCAGGAATGTCTCTGAGTCTCTTATCTCCAATGAGCCAACAGAAAACCAGAAGTGGTGCTGTGGCTCAAAATGGTAGAGCACTAGCCTTGAGCAAAAGAGCTCAGGGACAGCACCTAGGGCCCTAGTACAAGCCCATGACCAATAAAAATAAAATAAGTAAATAATAAACTTGCTTTGAGCTTTGAATTCTAGTGTTGCTCAGAAACATTTTCCATTCTTCATTAATTAATACCATAAGCTGCTGCTAAAATGATTTTCTGCTTCCTAGATGACCAATACTCTTCCCCCTTCAAACACATGCACACATTTCAGTATTCATTCTCCAGTGAGTAGATGAAATTTAAACATGTATGGATCATCATTCTTGTGTGCAATGCCCTAATATTACTTGTGATTCATCGGCATTTCTATAAGAGGAAAAACTTTCATATGATTGTTCTGTATACAAATTTTCAAGGAAGCTGGAAAACATCTAGGGCCTTTTTCAATTTAGAAAAAAAAAAAGAGTACAACTACTATAAAAGGCAACTTAAAAGATGCTGGGCCTGTGAGTTAACTAAAAGCAGGATAAGAACTGGATACTCCGTTCCCACTCCCACTTTACACCAGTATCCATTGATTTGAGCCATTGTCTTCTGCCAGTCGCTTCACAATCACCTTGGGCTCTGGGAAAGACTGGATTTACCACCAATAAGCATCTTGTAGAAAAAGACAAACTGTCCTTCAGTCAGGCAATGCCTTCTTATCATCTTGTGGCGAAAGGTGAAACTGGCCTAAAAAGAACAACTAAGATCTCAGGAATCCACCAGCCACGCAACTTGTTCCTGTTCCCTTCCAGTGGTGAAGCGGTAATGTGTTTAGAACCCCATCTGAGCAATCTTGAAACAATGGACTATCAGGCCACCTGACACCACCTCTGCCCACCTCTGAACATGCCTGTGATTTGGGATTATTTTAACTATGCAACCTTTTCATCTCCTATCCTCAATTTTCCCTATAAAACTAAGACAAATGTCTGGACCACTGAAGACAGCTGAAAGATATATTGAAGGGCTGTCTTTCCATGGCTGCCATGTAATCAATCTCCTTTATCTAGCTGTCTTTCACTATGTGGCAAACAGGGGCCAGATAAAGAGACATGGCCCTAGAGGAATGGCTCAAGTGGTAGAGCACCTGCCTATCAAACACAAGGCCTAGAGTTCAAACCCCAGGACCACCAAAAAGAAAAATACATCAAAGAGAACAGTAAGTCTTTTCACAAAGTCTAAGCCTTCAGATTTTATAATTGATATTCAGTCATATGATTACTCATTTCTATCTACCAAAAGTAAGGATTGTTAGTATTAAGCTAACCCTTGGTCCTCAGCTCCACCCAGACCAGAGCCCTTCCCTTCCCTGGAGTTCCCACCTCCTACAGTTGGCCCCTCCCTCTCTCCTTCCAGACCCACCAGAGCTCCCATCTACCTCACTTCCGACCCTCAGACCCTCCTGCTATCTGGATGGTGAAGGGTGCCATGTGCTCCCTCTTGGAGGAAATATGGCTCCTCCAATAAACCTTGTAATAACCTTTCTCCTGTGCCTGCCTGCCTCTGCGTGGTCCCCTGGGATGGATGTGTGGGATCCTTCAAGGATACCAAATGAATTACTCAAAAATCAGTAAATAACACCAAATTAAGTTTTATGCCAGTTTCATGACTTTAAAATAAGTTTGTGGTTTTAAACTTAATATGGCAGGAGTTTGCACATGTGCACCAACAGAGGGCCATGTGATCATTTGAATCAAAGGTGCACACAAGAAATGAAATTATCCTTCAGTGTCTCATTTCCTTTCTGCGTGATTGCAAACTTCTCCAGGAAAGCAGAGACCACGGCTGAGTTTATGTTCACACGATGCTGAGGGGGTGAATCAACCACAGTATAGAAGACTCATCATGCCTTCTGGACCCCTGGGTAATTGAGATCCCAGAATATATATGAACTCTGAGCACATCCAGTCTGACATGAATCTTGGAATAACAACTGCTAGTGCTAGGCTAATTCACAAAACCTTGTATGAACAGAACACTAAATCAGACAGAATAGACTTAGTATGTTTGTCATTGTTTTGCCACACCTGATCTTTAGAACTAGATGTCTGTCTTCATTTTAAAGCAAAACCAAAGCTCTGAGAACTGTCTCTCAATTTGAAAGCTACCCTCTACGATCTACAAGACATATATAAATAACTTACAGCTTTGCCAAGATCTATTTGTCTATTGTAAATGTAGGCTTTTTTTTGTTGGGGGGGAGAGAATAGCAATTGTAATACTACTACTCTGGAAGTAATTAATATACTCTATTAATAGTTAACCTCAAAGTTGTCAGGACTTTTTGTTTTGATTTTGTTTTAGCTCCTTGATAAATAATTTAAATAAGCAATACAAGAAGAATATTCATTTTTCTTTATGGTAAACTGAACTAAATGTGCATATCTTATGCTGATCCCTTTTGACAAAATACAATGATCCATATTCAGAAGCTGAGGAAGCAGGTCAAATTAAAATGCAGACTCAAGAGGGGGTGAGGCTCTATTTTTAACACCAGTGGTCACATTGTTTAGAGGTGCTTCTTAGGCAGTTAAAGATAACCCACAAAGAAATGTTACTTTGGTAATTTGATTCCAAAATTCCCAAGATACTACATTTTTCCCTGAAGATGCATTCTGCTGAATTTTTGAATTGGCTCTGCAGCTCTTATTTACAGATATAGTAGAGGTTTCTCAATGAAATTAATGCATGTGGAGTAGAGTTTGTGGCTCATATCTTTTCAATAAAAGAATCATGTCCTGAGTAAAATAAAGCCATATAGATTGTTCCCTGCTTTGTCTGGAAGTGTGTCCAGTTGTAAGGTTGTGTCTGGCTACCCAAAGCATAGGCAAAAGGAAATAAGAGCTTGGCAGATTAACTGAACTGTGGTCAGTATTTGCCCCTTAACTATCATGGTATGATTGAATAAGGGAGAAATTCTCCTAAGCACATTATGATTTTCTGATTCTTTACGGCAAGTAAAACTTTTTTCAACCCTGTGGCTCCCTGGCCCAAGCTTAGGCCCCTTGGCGCCTATTTAAATGGAAGCCTACAGATACTGGAAAAAAAAATAGTCCCGAATTTTCTTCTCTCTGCTGTAAACCAAAACCATGCCTTAAGGAATGAAAGACAACATATCAAAGATAACTTTTCTGGACCAGAAAGTACAATCTGTCTGCTTGGAAGCAAGACAGATTTGGTGTTGCCCTGCCAAGGGCTGTGGTAGAACCTGTCCACCCTACCACCAGGGAAGGCGCAGCAGCCACTCTGCGCTTCTGTCCTGGCGGAGGGGACTGCCCACAGCTTCACAAGTGTGTTTCATAAACATCAACTAGGCCAGACCTTGGGATAGGCACCCAGGGATAGGCGCCTACAGGTAAAAGAGGCACTGGTTCTGATGAAGCCAGGTGGAAAAGCATGCCAAAAGGGTGGATCCCAGGTGAAAGCAGGTCGAGTGAAGCCACTTTCCCTGTCCACCCTTCCCCCCCCCCCCCCCCCCCCCCCCCCGCCCCATGGATTCTAGAAAAGCACATTTCTAGTTGATCTGATTGCTAAGGAGTGCGCCTCTCCTGTGACTTCTGAGGCAGGGAATGTTCCCCACACCCTGGGGCTTCAGGAAAGGAGTCGATCCCCAGAGAGTCCCCCATCCCACCCCCCACCCCCCACCCCCCAGGATCCTCTGCCAAGTCGGCCCGCCCGCCTCGCCTCCCCCCTCCCTCCCTGTACCCACCTTGACGACATAGGTGACTCCGGGCCCCAGCACCTGGTCGCTGGAGTGTGGCACCCCCCGAGGGGGCCTGGGCAGTGGCTCGTCGCCCGGCCGGCCCTTCCGGCCGGTGCTCATGCTGACAGCCGGGGCGCGGGGGGCCGGGGGCGCGCTGCTGTCCCGGGCGGCCAGGCTGGGCGCGCTGCAGCTCCCCGAGAGCCGCGCTCCCGCCCGCTCCCGGCCGGCCGACGACAGGCCGCGGAGGCCCGAGCTGGAGAGTTTCAGGTGGGACACCTTGTGAAGCAGGTGGCCCAGGCTGCCGGGCCCATCGTCGGACGCCTTTCGCAGCCCCTCGCCGGACACCAGGTAGGGGGTCGCCGCCCGGGTGGTGCGCTCGGCGGAGACCTTGCTGCCACGGCCACCACCGCTTACCGACAAGCTGTGGAGAAGGTCATCGACCGATGTCACCGAGTCATTCCTGAAGCGGTTGTACTTGGTGCGTGGAAGCATGCCCCTCTATGGGCTCGCCGCATCCGCCCCGGCGCTGCTGCTGCTGCTGCTGCCGCCGGCCCCGGCGCGGGCTGCCGCGCATAGCAGATGAGCCTCGGTTCCCCCCCCCCCCTCCCCTCCCTCCACGGGACAAGGAGCAGGGAGGTCCTAGGACAGTCTTCCAGAGGAGGGGAGGGGGGGGAGCGCAGGAGTGAAGAGGACCGAGCCCTCCAACCATCAAAAGCCAGCAGAGCCACAGCCGCGCAGCCCCCGCCCGGGAGACCGCCGCTCGGGGTTGGATGTGTGGTTTGCCAAAGTCATAGTTGCCTCGGATGGAGAGCGCCCAGCTCTCACGGAAAATGCATGACTCACTGTGAGAGGAGACCCTTCTCAACAAAGGCTCGGTGAGCACTGCGTATCACTTCCTGTATCAAGAAAGAGGAGGAAAAAGAGGGGGGGGGGGGGGGAAGAAATCTGACATCCACTCGTTGACAGCAACTGGAACCAATCGTTTCTCAAATGCCTTTTTTTTCCCCCCTACCTTCCCAGATATTTTCTTTCCAACCTTTTTTTATTTCACCCCCCCCCCCCATCTCTCCCCTACCCTCGATCCAGTATCTGTGCCAAAGGGTAAATCCAGTTCCTTCCAATGATCAGATGAACTTTTTGCAAACCAATTATTCCGTGGTAGGGTTGTTTTTTTTTCCTTTTCTGTTCTCTCCTCAGCTCATCCGTGTGAGCCCTAAAGCAGACAGGGAAGCATTAAAATGTGACGAAGCCTTTTTCCCCCCACTTCTGAAGAAGTCTTCAGTGGATCCTGATGAATTCTTATTCGGAAAGCAGCAAGATTTTAAAATAAAAACTGAAAAAAAAGCAAAAGACAAAAGAAGGAGAGGATATAGTCACCCCTACTTGAACATAAAATACCAGTTTGATATTGGTAGGTTCAGGGCTTTTCTTTTCCATCTCAGATCAACAGAGCAGCCATGACGAATGTCTTTGTGGCAATGCAGTTCTTCCGGAAAAACATTTTTTAAAAAACTAAAAAATAAATCTGCGTATGAACTTCTGCACAGTGCATCTGTCACAGGGTCTTTCCTGCTGGAATACAGCGGTCTTTCTCAGCCAGGGTTAAGTTAAAAATACATTTCCAAAAAGGAAAAGTGCTTCTTTGATAGGTGGCAACAGGCTCCAGAAATCCATTCCAAAGAAGAGGCAGCTTTTCAAGCTTCTTTCCAACAGAATGTGTTTAAGCTCTGGGAAAAAAATGACTAAGAAATGCGACCAATACATTTCAGTGTTTCTTCCATCACTGCTGCTCAGAGCCCTGCAGTCAAGAAGAAGAAAATGCAACCACTCAATAAGAGGACGTCAAATCTACGGGGTGGGGGGGGGGGGGAGGGAGGGAGATGCTTTGGGGGTTTTTGTTTTGTTTTGTTCTGTTTTCCAGGAGTCAGGCTCAGGCCTTGCAGTGACATGCAAGTGCAGGCCTTCTTCCTCCCAGTTAGAACAAGGCTCTGGCAGCCCCTAGAAGGTCTGCTCCCAGACTCTTGAGACCCACTTAGCCCTTCCTCCATGGTCTCTGCCAGTCAGCCTTACACAATTAATAACCTGCCACACAGTGAGTGACACACGAGCTGTCAAAGTGTCCCAGTAATTTCCTCTGCAAACAAATGAATTCACCTCTAGCACACTATCATCAGGTCACCCCGAGTCTCCTCACACCCAGAACTGAACATGGGTGACACATGAGATCGAGCTTGGTGGAATGGGGGTTTCATGAGCGCCACTCATGAGGGGCACCCCAAGCGAAGCCAGCACCCAGGAGACAGGAGTGCGAAGAAGCCCCGCCATCCCCCACCCGGGAAACGCGTCCCCAAGGCCTCTCCTCTAGCGCTGCAGCCCTAGCCAAACAGCCACCCGGCACTCACTTTTCTTTCCTTCCCCTCGCTTGCATAGCAACCACAAATGCACACCCCACAGGCAATTTTGATGGTTATCAGAATGCCCCTCAAATCTGAAGCCAAACAGCCCCGTCATTCTCAAACCGTGCTCTTCATTAGAAGCAGACAAAAACTGTAAAAAAAAAAAAAAAAATGTGAATGAAATGCTGTTTGTGTGAATGAAAGGGCTAGCGAGCCAGCGTTTCTGTGAATGAAGCCCGGCCTTGCAGCCGCTGCCAGGCAATCCCTCTGGGCTCCAGCGGCCTTAGCCAATGAGCAGCCGCGCCGATGACTCATTCAACAAAGGCTCGCTCAATAGTGGAAGATTCCATTTCAATCAAGGGCGGGATCTTTTATCCAACTGCAGTGTGGGAAGAAGAAAAAAAAAAAACAAGAGGGGAAAAAAATCCACCCAGTTTCATCACAAAGATGCTGGGGGCGGGGGGGGGGGGGGGGGGGGGGGGGAGAGCAGGAGAGGGCAGCTGTTATGGATAGAGATAGAGAAGAAAGAGAGAGACACAGAGAGACAGACATAGAGACAGAGAGAGAAAGTAGAGTTAAAAGGAAATTCAAGAAGATCGGGTCATGTCTGAAAGTGAACAGGACCAGCCTCTTGGAGGTGAGCAGCAGGGCCCCAAACTTTCATTCACTCTTTCATCGACATCAAGCATCAAGGCGCATCATGAATGTGCCATTCGGTTCAGCTTTTATTATGAATGTACACTGAATGTGCATTCAAAGCCTAAGCTCCTGGCCCTTGGTTTTCCTTTTATAAAGGAATAGAGAACACCTCTGTGGCTGTCTTCAAGGAGGAAAATTCCAAAGCTAACAGAGTTAACCCTTTAGCCCACAGCAGACTTTGAGTTCTTTTACCCTATCGAGTTTTTTTTTTTTTTAGTTCTTTTATTTTTCTGAATGGAGGGAAAGGAGTCCTTTAAAAATGTGAATAACTGCACAAAATTTATTACATATGAAAAGATATATACCCAAAGACTATGATTAATATTCCAAGAGCATAATAGTGCAGTAAAACTACACGTATCTGGAGGACGGCATGAACATTTTGAAACATAGGAGAAAAGCAGAAAAGCCTAACAGTGTCTCAGCAGAGAATAGAGCTGCCAAGTCGCTCATTCACAAGATAGATCTTTATTCTCCCTGGGGAGTTGTGCAGGGTTATTTTAGGCCCTATTCCCCAAAGCCTAAGTCTTTGGTTTATCAACTGGAAACACCTAGAAACGGATGAGAGGAAAGATTACTATGTTAGGTAACCGTAAATTTAGACGAAATTTTCATAGAGTGGGTGATGGTCTGTATATAGACTGTCCTCTCTGAAAACTATTGCAATCTAATCCTGGTGAGGTATTATTTAAAGAGTAGCTACTTAATCTGACCATGGTGTTGAATGATCTGATTGAATCTCAGTGGCTTTATAAGAAGAAGGAGACCAGACGGGACACACACACACACACACACACACACACACACACACACACACACACACACACACACACACTTACTGAGCTACATTGGGACTTTGCCAATAGGAGACATCACCAGATGCAGCCCCATGAACCTTGGACCAGAACCATGAGCCATAATAACTCTTCTGGTCATGAGATTGTCTTCTTAGTAATACAAAACAGACTAACAGGATCTAACAACATTTTTTGGGGGGGTCCGGTCGTGGGGCCTAAACTCTGGGCCTGGGTTCTGTCCCTCAGCTCTTCAGCTCAAGGCTAGTGCTCTACCACTTGAGCCTCAGCGCCACTTCCGGCTTTTTTTTTTCTTTTTGCTTATGTGGTGCTGAGGAATTGAACCCAGGGCCTCATGCATGCAAGGCAAGTGCTCTACCACTGAGCCACCTTCCCAGCCCCCTAACAACATTTTTTTTAAAAAAAGTACTCTGACTCTGAACCCCCGTGAAGGAGCTAATGGAGAGGTCTCCTTATCCCTAAGTCCCTAAGAGAAAAGCAGGGGGCCAGGACACCTAAGGGCTAAAAAGATGTTTAGATATTGATAAAATCATATCCTGGATTTCTTGTGTTAATAGAAAGACTTGTGACACACAAAAGGGTGTAACTGAACCTGAACCCTATAGAAAATGATAGCCCTAGTCTGACCATCCAAAGCTAAGAAATCCTCCAGTTTATATGTAGAAAGTGTCAATAATATAGTATTCAGTCTCAAGAAGTTAACAGCACATAACCTAATTTTCCAGGAATGATGACCTATGTCTACAAGCTTGAGATCTGTGGGGGGCATTCAGGGCAGTTCTTAAGCCTTCCCACATTCCCATCTAGACAGTGCATTTTGTCTTTGTTTTGCAACAAAAACCTACTCCCGGTTGTATCTCCTTCATGTCTCTTCTTGAATTCTTTCTCAAACAAGACCAAGAATTTTTCACACCCTGGACCTAGTCAATAGAATCTAATAACAACAACATCCAGCATCAGTTACTGAAAAGAGTGCAGAACAATGCCCACATTTCTTCCCTGTATGATCGGGCTGAGGGGTGGAAGGGTCCTATCCATCAGAGTGTGCTGAGCAGGCAGGTGAGAGGGAAAGGTGGATATTTTAATTTTATTTATTTTATTTTTATTTTTATTTTTGTTGGTCATGGGGCTTGAACTCTGGGATTGGGCGCTATCTCTGCGCTCTTCAGCTCAAGGTGAGCACTCTACCACTTGAGCCACAGCGCCACTTCTGTTTCTTTTTTTCTAGTGGTTCATTGGAGATAAGAGTCTCACAGACTTTTCAGCCCGAGCTGGCTTTGAGCCGTGATCCTCAGATCTCAGCCTCCCGAGTAGCTAGGATGACAGGTGTGAACCACCGGTGCCTGGCTGGTGGATTTTTTTTTTTCCACATAGATGTGTTCTGTGCTGATGAGCAGATTGGTTGAAACCTGAAAATGCTAAATTTGCCAGATGGCAGCTGAGAAAAAAAAAAAGTCAAAATGCCAGGTATGGTGGTTCATGCCTAGAATCTCAATGCTCAGGAAGCAGAGGCAAAGAGGATCTTAATTTAACCCCAGCCTAACCTACAGAGTAAGGACTCTCCCCAGCTCCCCCAGCCCAG